AATGTGGTTCATATATACGATGGAGTTTTACTCAGCAGTAAAGAAAGATGAAATCATGAAATTTGCAGGTAAATGGATGGAACTAGAATCTTTTATACTAAGTGAAGTAACACAGACTCAGAAAAAAAAGTGACATATGTTCTCCTGCATATGTGGATCCCAGAACCAAACCCTGATAAGTATGTATCCAGACATGACTACAGGAACCAGGATAATGGAAAGGAAACAGGGAGGTAAAGGAAAAGAAAGAACCTGAAAGAGAAGAACAGTAGGAAACAGGCCTTAATAAGGGAGATATGGGTAAAAATTGGGTTAGTTTAAGGGAGAGGGGGAGGGTATACAAGGAACTTAGGGGATAAAGGGAAAGAAGGAGCTCAAGAGAGATAGGACCGTAGGAGAAGATTATTATTAAGGACAAGGGGGGGGGGGGATGGGGGCACCTTAAGTGGGAGAACTACGGTGGAGGAGTGAGACAATGTGAGAGATAAATAATGCCTAGCTAGTTTTGGAAAACCAGAGGGAATCATATTACTCCTTACAACCTACTGATAAATTATACATAGCAGATCAAGAAATATAAGTCTAGGTAAGGTTTATCTGAGAACAATTGATCTTTGCCCAAGATTTATTTACATGGTACACAGTAATTAAAATTACCAGACTGGTAGAACTAACCTTCTTGGATGTTTAACAGACATACTTTGAGGCCTATAATAATTTGGTCAGAGGGACATAAAGGACAGTTTTTGCTCCTAGCCCTCCTAGGTCGACTAGTTCCAGGGGACTATGAGCATCTCTCAAAATGTCCTGTAATTGTGGTGGGTCACATGTCTTCTTGATCAAGGAGGCTGAGGAGGCCCCACGAGATGGACTTGAACTAGTGTCCAGTCTACAAAGAGGAGGGTCAACACAGAGGAATCATTTCCTCCATGCTTCCAAGCAAAGCCAACCATGGTCGAGCAGGACCTTTGACTTATCTTCACATAGGCGGAACTGTTAAAGAAAGGAGCCAGGGTCTCCTCCCAAGCCCATGTGACCCCTGAGGA